TCATAAGAAATGATAAGCGAAAAATTAGATATACTTACTTTATTATCGCAAAATTTCAAAATCCCGATGGGTGTAAAAAGAGACGGAAGATCTGTTAAGGATTATCCGTCTGAATGAAATGGGTTCATTCCGTCTATCGTAAGAAGCACGAGCAGCATCATCAGCCGGATTCAAAGAAATTGAAGCACTCAAGTGCGCTCCGGTTACAATAATAAGAGGTCTGCAATTCAAACTAAACTACTAAGAAACCCGTGCAATGCACGGAAATAACGAAAGAAATAATAAGTATAAATAATAACATAAAATAATTTAACTAAATTTTCTGTTAATAACAAAAATTTTAAAAATTCTTTGAAAGATAAAATCTTAAGATTCTACCAAATAGGAAATAATTTATATTCATATATCATTGTTTCCCACACTTTTTAAATTATACAAAAATAATTGCAATTAATTATAAATATTAAAAGAAAAAAAATTATTTAGTTAGAGTGAAATAGAAAATTTCATAAGCTTCAAAAATTGAACTAAAAGAACACTAAATTAGAAAAGGTATGTGTTTTATAGAATAATTAAATGTGATAAATTTCTGTTGAAAGTAAAAACTCTGAAATTTATAATCAAATATAGATGAAGAATGAAGGTATATTGTAGAAACATAATGGAAACAATACTATATTTGCTTTGAATTAACAAATTGCCCAACATCATTAGGTAGGGATATAAAGGTTATAGACATTTAAAATATCATATAAACATATAATGTTTTAAAGAACTATCTTGTGTAATATTTGTTTTTAGTATGAAGCCTAGTTATTTTATTTGATAAACAAGACTTTATTTACATTCCGTAAGACGTGATCAAGAGTAAAGACTCAAGAATCCATACAAATATGCAATATACCAATACTCATATCATGATCATGTACTTAAAAAATATATTGAAACGATTAATAAAAGGAAAGAATATAAAATTAAAATAAACGTATGTCTTAAATTATAATAAAAGGGAATGTGTAGTGATTGACTGTGATCTCAACAGATTATTAGTAAGAAGCCTACATCATACCTTAAATTTCAAGTAAACTAAAAATGAACTAAGATTAGTTTGATATATAAAAAAGAAGATTCACTTCAAAGACAATCCAATTAACGGGGAAAAAATAAATAAATATTGTTTGGCTAGTGATATAAATTAAACCAATATTCTGTCACACCAGATTGTGAGATGGCCGGATGGTGTAAGGCATTTGATTACCATTTGGTGTGTTTCAAATCAGAATATCAAATCCTACTCTCTCTATTTGCCTTGTGCTGAGAACTAAATAGAGGAAATAAATTAAAATAAAATAAATTCTACACTTGTATTATGTTACAGTGGGTGTAATGCATCATTGGCCTAACTATTAATTGGCATGACCAATGGTTTACCCTATTAAGCCATAGTTTAGTGATCATCATCACCAATAACCAATTTTATGTACATTTAATAAGGGTAATATTTGACAAAAGTCAAAACAATGTTAGATGGACAATCATAATCATTTGATAAGGTTTCCATGTGGAATTTACCATTAGCAAAACCACACAACTTCGTAGTGTAATGAGTGATGACTGAGTTTTGATATATCCAAATAATATTGCTGGTGGTAAGATGATATGTACTATAAGTATCTTATATAGTTGGAAGCTTAAATTCACGGCAACTAAGTTAATCTTATAAGTAATTCCCACAAAACTATCTTAGTACAAAACTACAAATCACCATAGTCAGAAACATATACACTGTACATACACGCCCAATAGAGCATGTACATTGAATGCGTTAAGAGACATGCCGCACGTTTAAGTTCCTGTTAAACCCCGAATGGATCATGCCAGAGATGCTTTTAAGGGGTAAAGAGACCAAGAAAAGGTAGCGATTTCTTCAAATAAAACTCTCTTATTCTCATATTTTGCCCATTGAAACCCGACTGCAATACATCTCTGTTGCATCTATGGTTTACACATATTGTAAAATTTTTGGAAACCCATTTGGATCAAAGCGGGGAGAGAATTAATGAAATATGGAGGACACAATTGAAGCTTTCAAGAGGGAGACGAATATTAGCTGCAATGATAGGGCAAAACCAACAGTTGGTTCCACAGCCACTGGTATTACCACCCCTATCGGGCCCATGCCGGATATCAGAATCCTATATAACTACCAAGTGCATAGGCAACAACCACTACTGCCTCCTATCCTAGGTTTGCCATCTGATTCAAAGGAATCAATTTACTGTACCTTGAATGGTGATAGCAAAAAGGTATGTTACTGCCCCAAGCCCCAACGCAACATGTAGCCATGACATTTCAATCAAGGATTGTCAAAGAGGGAGGAGCACAGTGATGAAACATGGAGGACGCAAGTAAAAGCTTTACATAGAAAAACACGCAATTAGAAGGTTTAAGAGAAAGACGAATGGTTGCGACCATTCGAACAGGTATGATGATCAAGAGAGGGAAGACCAAGGGTTGTTCCTGTTGAGTTTCAGTTAAACGATTCTAAACCTTTCTATAACTGTTGGAGTTTGGCACACATGTCACTAACCGTTTACCTTTCCCTGACACTCTCATCGCACCCAATTAATGGGAACCCAAAACCTAAAATTGCTCCCAACCCGAAGAGATGATAAGCGAAAACTGAGATATACGCAACATATTGAAAAAAAATATTACTTCCAATGATAGAACGCCCACAGTATATATTAAATAAATAGTGTAAGAAACAAAAGTATCACAATAAAAAAACATAATATTTAAACACTAAAAGTAACTCTTGATTAGAAGCTGAGAGAATAGTGAACAAGAAAGAAAATAAATTTAATTTTTCTTAATAAAAGTCTAAAACACTTGAACGCATTTATTTATAATTTTCAGTATACAAACCTAAGTTCATCCAAATAATTTGAGTAGATGCAGTTCCCCACAATCAAAGTTAGTACATTGGCTATGAAATTGTGACAAGTTGAAGAATGGCTACAAGCATAGCCAAACAGACCACACCCTATTTTATCAAGTATTCTCACCAGAAAGTTACTATCCTTATTATGTATGTGGATGACATAACGGTGACCGGGAATGACAATGATGAAATGGAAAAGCTAAAGAGTAAGTTGGCAATGGAATTTGAGATCAAGGATTTGGGCCGTCTGAAGTGCTTCCCATGGATGGAAGTTGCTAGATCAAAGGAAGGTATCTTTGTCTCTCAGAAAGTATGTGCTTGGCTTACTTGAGGAGACTGGGATGATGCGGTGTCAACCCAGTGACACCCCTATTGATGTGAACCACAAGCTCAGTGAAGATAGTGTGGAACGTCTTTTAGACTCAGGGAGTTACCCGGGACTTATATGGCGTCTAATTTACCTCTCTTTGACTAGGTCAGACATTGCATATGTCGTCAGTGTTGATAGCCAATTTATGCACGCACCAACCTCGGGACACATGGAGTTAGTATACAGGATACTTAGGTATCTCAAGTCCACCTTTGGGAAATGATTGATGTATGTTAGTCATGGCGACTTCGGGTAGAAGCCTACACATATGTAGATTAGGCAAGTTCTATTAAAGATAGGTGCTCCACCTCTGGGTATTGTTCCTTTCTGGGTGGCAACCTTGTGACATGGAGGAGCAAGAGCGACCAATGGTAGCTAGGTCTAGTGCAGAAACAGAGTTTAGAGCTATAGTACATGTGGTATGTAAACTCCTGTGGCTTCAATTGCTAATTTCAGAGATTAAGGTTCCTGCTCAAGGACCAATGAGTCTATACTGTGACAACAAGGCGACAATTAGTATATCTCATAATCTTGTGCACTACAATCGCATGAAACATATTGAAGTCGATCGTTATTTTATCAAGGATAAGTTGAGATCGGGTGACATTTTCACTCATTTAATAAAGACCAGGGAATCGTCGATCAACTAGCGGATGTTTTGATCAAAGGATTAGGGGGGCTCAATTCCTCAATATTATTAGCAAATTGGGCATGAGGGATATATCCTAATGAATGAGAGACAAGAGCTGAGCTCTCTATTCTTTCTTTTCTTCTTCTTCTTCCTTCTTTCAAACCTTAACCCTAAACCATACTAATCAAGTCAACTCTATATGTATACACAAAATTTACAAGTATAATACTATAATGCTTATTTATGCTAATGTTAATATGTCGGTACACATCTTAATATATACATATTTATCAAATTATGCATGTTAACACACGCATTTTGATTATTGTTTGAACCATTGCACCTCTATGGTATATTAGAGCTTTGGGTGTTAGTATGGTAGAGTGTATGTAACAATGGCATACTTGTAATATTTCGTTCTAGAGGTGAAGTATATAACCTAATGAATTAGAGATAAGAGTTAAGCTCTCTATTATTTCTTTTATTCTTCTTCCTCTTCTTCTTCTTCTTTTTCCTCTTCTCATTTTTCCTTCTTTCAAACCCTAAACCAAACTAATCAAGTCAAATACGCACGCGCACACAACATATATATTAATATTAAAAATCTAGGAAGATCCTCCTACATTTCATTGATAGTCATCCTTTCCCTCCCCACTATCATTTTAAGATCCATATCCTTAAAATTGTTAAATGTCACGCTATAGTTAATCTTTACAAGTCAAACTCAGAAAAATAAAGTGGTTGTGGTGGTCTTTATCTTTTCTTGATTTGCCTTATTAATTTTAGTATGGTGAAACCCTAGCTACTCAAGTTGTTTGAAGGATAAAAATTTATCAAGTCTCCGCGTGAAAATTTAAAAATTTTGAGAACCAATCAAACTTTACAAATAGTTGTAACGTAAAAATTAATAAAAGAAAGAAGGTAGCACTTGAAAAAGAAGAAGAAGAATCTACACCCAATCATGGAAAAGAGAAGAATTAATAGAATCTCTATTTTTATAATAAAAGCTTTATGACTTTTTAGTAGGAGCAAACATACCTCCCGAGACACACCCTACGCTTGTCCTAGTGGTAAGGGTATCTCCCCCTCATGGTGGAGGTTCGGGGATCGATCCCCAGGGAGGTGTGATGGTTGTATATCTACCCTCTTTGCCAAGCTCACATGCTAGGCTCTAACCCATTAGAACAGATAATAACCCTGTAGACCCTTGAGAATACCCCCAAAAAAAAAACATACCTCCCGAGGCACAAGCATCTTGGGAATAACTCTAGAGAGAGAATAACATGACAAAAATCAGTTGTGACGAACAACAAAAAGAGCCCAAATTCAATGACTTTGTTCCATTATCTACTAGGTTAATTAATTTGAGAGTGTGGAAAAAAGGAAGAAAGAAGAAGCTCACTCAAGAATATGCGGACCGGCGACCACCACAATAAATTCAGGTTCAACAGAAAATCATGCAAAGAATGGTACGCCACATGCTTCTTGTGATGGAAAACCAAACAGCTAGTACATACCGCAAAAAAACCCTCATATTTTATGACAATTTGATCCTCAAAAAAGAAAAATAAACCAAAAAAATCTGTGAACAATACTATTATTTTCATAAATTCATAGACAAAGACATGCCCTCCAAACAAAATATATTTTCCTCTATCATATATTCTTAACTCTCTTCTTCCCTCTTCTTGAGAGGATATTAAGTATTGAACAAAAAATTAAAGTTGAATTAAAAAAAAATGTCACAAAAAAGATAATGGTGTACATAAATTCATAGGCAAATGGAGACCTTATATCCAGGAAAAAAATAATTATTAAATTTGACACAAATTATTATCAAATTATGAGCAAAGTACCTTTTCCTCTGTGATACAACCTAATTGCTTCTTCCATATATAGAGAATAGTAAGTATTTCTTTTAAGCTGTAAAAAAGAAGGTAAATCGGATAGCAACGAAAAAGGAAAAGATTAATGTCTTCCTAATCTGCGTACCAGCAAAAGAAACATACTCTGAGAAATAACCACCAACAAAGAAAAAATAATAATAATAAAAAGATGCACCATTTCAGCCTATGAATCCGCAATCAAGAATATAGGAAGAAAGAAAAACAAGGAGACTAACATGTCTCTAAATTCTAATATATGCCCTAAAACACATGAAACTGCAATCTAGATTTTTCTCTAATTTCGAACCATGGGCAAAAGATACAGAGTTCTTTAGTTACAAAAACCGACCTGGAATCAAAGACACTGACAGCTACATTGGGATAATATCATTAAATAACAGAAAATCCATCACATAGAACCTCCTAAATGAAAGGGAAAAAAAAAACACCATAAGAAACATGAACCCTATATCACTTAAAGCTTTTATCTCATAATATTCTCAACAGAATTTCCAGACATAAGAGAGCTGTGGTGATATGAAACGAAGCGAAGGATTGTAGGTGAGACAGTGGGTTTGAAAGGGGCATTTCGGGTATGAAAATCTGAGACGAAAAGGTGGGAACAACAGGATAAGAGACAAAAAAGGCAATTTGACTGCCATATCATTACAACTTTTTATAAAATTCTACAATTATATAGGGCTATACAGACTCGAACTGTAGACTTTCTCAGTAAAACAGATTATGTCATCTAAAGTCCAATTTAGTTGAATATTTTGCTACAATTGCTACTTAAGCTGAAATATTTCAACAATTTTGGTGTTTACTATCACTTTTCAATCAGAACATTTTGAAATACATTAGGGTATTCTAATGGGCTACAAAAGTTTGTCTTTGCTTCTGAAGTATAAAGCTCCGATGAAGAACAATCCGAAGCTGTATTTTACTATTTTAAGTAGATGTTATCAGCAGATCTATAAAAAAGAAGATGCAGAAGTATTAAAAATAAAGTTGAGTCAATGTTTCTTTCATCCTGCAGTTTCAGTGACCATCGTGATTCGTGATAGGTCCAGGCTTATCTTCTTAAAACTGTTAATAAGAACCCAATATCAGATTCTCCTAGACGTGAGAAACTTATCTGTAATTTGAGGGATGTTCCATGAGCTAATTTAATATTAGATCTAAATTCCCTTTAATACTTTCTCAGAATATAAGGTTTGGGGGAAGGGGGGGGGGTTAACAAAAACAGTACTTGTGCCAACCTTAGGTTACCTTATTAATTTCTTACCTTGCAAAATCCTAGCTTTTAACTCATATGTGGGGAGCCTAATAATCTAGTTGACTACCACTGATAAATAAACAAAAAACTTAATTTGGAAATAAGATCAAGCTACATGGTAAAAGGACACGGGGGGCTCTCAAAAGGGAGAAAACAGGTGGCACGAAACAAAATAAATTCCCAATCTGAATATCGCGTGTTCCCGTTGGAGTTTTCTAATCTGCACCTTCCATTTACTAAAGATGCTTAAATTTTATTTTTTAAAAAGGGTGTTTCCACGTTATCAGTGAGTTATCGACAGTATTTTGCTGATATCTCGGATAACTCCCAACAACATGTAAAATATTTCTTACAAGGTGTAGATGTGTCAGCAATGGTCGACACCGACAAATATCGGTGACATATCGCTGATATTGTCGATTTTCAAAACCTTGGTGTTGAATAAGGCTTTAAGGGCTTTATTCCTATGGGCTTTGTTTTTATGTTATCTCTTATATAATGTATTGTAAGTCTATTATTAGTAGCTCTTATTTACTAATAGTAGACCATTAGTGGAATGTGAATAATAAAGTGTGTGAGAGAGATCATTAATCTCTGGTGCAGTCTGGAAGCTTAGAACTATCAAAACAAGATCTAATGCTACCAAATCAAGAGAAAAAAAAAAGACAACACTAGAAGAGGAAAACAAGGAGCTCGTGTAGTGACTTGAGATGAGCCAAAACACACCCAAAGTTGCTCTAGAATAGGGCTAGAAGCCCTCAACTCAGGAACAGCAGAGGAAACCCTTTTCTTACTCCCAAAATCTAATGCTTAAAGGCTTACAATGGATATAAATAGTCCCCTAAGAAAACCCTACTTAAAGTTGATCTAAGCCCTACATTCAATCTAATCTAGACCATTAAAAAGGGTACTTAAAACAGTCACATGCCTACTTAAGTAAATCTATAAAATCTAATCTATATGATGTTGTATGTCTCTCATTGGGGGTAGTTCCGGCGGTAATTCTTCAGGCATTACATCTTTAAATTCTTCAACAAGAGGTTGAACCCTTTTAGGTATGGGCTTAATTGATGGCTCACTCCTCCCCACAAATGCATAGACAACCCCCACTTCCTTCAGCCTCCTCAACAAATTTAGCCATGTTGAGAAAAATTACACCCTCCCCTTGACATGGCTTACGTGTGATCTCCTCTTTCATTGGGGCCAGAATTATTTTAATGTTATTTTTCCAAAAAGTGTGGGTGTTTCTTTTTCCATCATGCAAAACTTGTTGATCATATTGCCATGGTCGACCTAACAACAAATGGTAGGCATCCAAGGCAACTACGTTGCACCACACCTTATCAAAGTATTTTTTCCCAATTGAAATAAAACTAGGCAGCGTTTAGATACAATTACCTCATTTTCCTTTTTAAACCATGATAACCTGTAGGGATGCGGATGCCTCTCCACGCCTAACTTTAGCTTAGTCCCTACCTCCTCTGAAATCATTTTTTCACAGCTACCGCTGTCAATGATGAGCTTGCACACCTTCCCCGCCAATAGTGCAAGTAGTGTGGAAGATGTTGGTTCTCAACCAATCTTCTTGAGCATTTTGTTTTGGCGCAAGGAGACTCTTTTGGAGAACTAGTGCTTCACCTTTTCTTCATTTTCTCCCAAGTGTTAATCATGGGTTTACCCTTTCTTTGGAGCATTACCGTCAATTGATCCCACCAAGTAGAAGCTCGACCCCTTAACTTCAATGCAACCAACTTCACGTCTTCCGACACATCTACATACTCAAAGATACGTTCGACAGTGACCAGCCAATCAATAAACTCTTCAGCCCTCAACCCCCATGGAATTCTGGTATTTCTACCTTAAAACCCGACTCTCACCTTCGATTATCCCGTTCATCTAGCTCTCATCGCAGAGCGCAATCATGAAATGGGTTCTCAAATTCATCCTCCAGTTCATCATCGCCATCATCCTGGACTGAATTCTCCATTTGCGCTAAGCGTTGGTTAAGGCTTTTAACTTGCCTCCTTAATGCTGATATTTCCCCTTGAGCAGCAGCATCGAGAGGATCTACGGCTCTTGTACCTCGTCCTCGTCCACATCTAGGAGCCATGAACAAATGGAGAAGATCTCTAACACAACAGCCTCCAAAGCTCTGATACCAACTAGCACAGCCTAGGAAGCTTAGAACTATCAAAACAAGATCTAATGCTACCAAATCAAGAGGAAAAAAAAAAGACAGCAATAGAAGAGGAAATCAAGGAGCTCTTGTAGTGACTTGAGATGAGCTAAATTGCCTCATTCGATCCCTCTTGACAAGGAAATCAGCAATTATTAGGGTTGCATCAATCTCTCTCACTATTTTTCCCTAAACCTAATCTCCTTCTCCTTCTTCTTCTTCCTCTCTCTCTCAAACCCTAACTTTTAACCCTAATAACCTCACAAACTAAACCAAAACTTGTTAACTATAGTTCAAGGGCAAAAAGGAGCTTTGTAAGGACGGGAAGCAATAGTCCTCTCCTCACCCCGAGGAGAGGATTATTGCAATTCAATGTCTTCCAGAAGCTAAAAAAAATTAGAGAACATCTCAATGGTCAAATCTCATCCACGCTTGGAAATAATAAAAGATTGAGAAAGTTGAGGACTTGAGTTATAATGAGAGAAGTTCTGTGAAGCATAGTTACCAGAGCAAGAAGCGAAAACGAGAAGCAAAGCAAAAGCGAAAAGCGGGAAGCGAGACTCAAAAAAACCTTAGGAAACGAGAAGCAAGAAATGAGATATAGACTCCTTATTCCCATTATATTATTTATGGGTATGGGTAGTTATACCTTTGATTTTATCTTACATGAGATTTTTGTAGAAAAGTAGGTGCCTTAGGCTTCAAATCGGCGATACTTGCTTAGATTCTACACCCTAGGCTATAGATTGTGGTCTACCACATCACTTCACACATACAGCTCCCTTT